CTTATGTCCCTCAAAAATCACCATTCCATTCTGATAATCAGAGCTATAAATCATATAAATGCATGGAATGTCCACACAATATAAGGAATGAGAAGAACGATCACAGTAGCTACAGAAATGAGAGCAGACAACCTGGAAGTGCTTAGAATAAAGAGGAACCCATTCGATACAAGCTGGACAAAAAAAATGAAGTTCGAAAGAGAAGCTGCTGCAGTCTGGCCATGAAGAACAAAACGCCCAATGCACACAAGGAATCGCGCTGATGTTTTTCGAAGAAGCGCACAAAGCATCGCTCAGTAAAAGGAGAAAAGAGATTCCAATAAAATGTCATCTAGTGCTATGCGCTCACTGATGGTAACAACGAAGACAGTAACGATCAGTTTTAGGAGAAGATGCAGTTTACTAGAGAGGAATGACCAGGAGAGTACATGTTAGTCCTGATGGAGGACCTGATCCTTGACGTAAAGATGGACAACAATGAATATGTACATATTATGAGATGACATGGTCTAGAAGGAACGGACCAAGATGGCGAGAGACTGACAAATATCTATGTGCTCTGATAGACATAGTTATACGTCGGACCCATTCACTTCACAGATGGATACACATTGCTAAATGGGTTTCACCTGACCACATAACAGATGACCAGATCGATCACATCTACACTGATAAAAAATTCAAAAGTTTTGTAAAGAACATGAGATAAAAAATAGAAGCTAATATAACTTCAGATCACCATCTGGTAATGTCCCGTTTAAACAAGGGTTGGACAAAGAGTATTCCAGATGCTAACAAGCTCGACTTATCCGATACAGCTCTCAGCAGTAAGATTCAAGTCTTACATGATCTACTGAGAGAAGAGGAAACCATTGTGGAGAGCAGCTGGAGCCGCGAGAAACGCCACTCTAAAGAAAGGAATAATTATTGATAACTTGGATTAAATTCTAGATAGAGGGAACAGAAAGACAGCAAGGTGCAAGCCAAATACACAGAAGCAACTTATCGAGTAAAAAGGAGCATTGGAAATATTTAAAAGACCTACGAGTGATAGTCGGAAAGCTTCAATAAAAGAAAATTTGGAACAGCCATATGATACCACGAAGAAACCAAAAGGGAAATATAGTAAACTAGAGCAACTAGTCAAGGACAATTAATACGAACCAATCATTAAGATTCAAGGATATCGCAATAGATTAATCGAACACTTTGAAAAGCTCTTAAACAGACTAGGACTACCGCAGCTATATCTCTCCATAGATGTTAGTGCACCAACAAGCTAAGTAATCATCATGACCATCATATAGATAAATAATGACAAAACAGCAGGATGAGACAACGTACCAGTTGAACCACCGACGTCAGGCATAGGAGCAACCTCGAAGATATCCCACTTTCTCTCTCGGAAATGTTTGGTAGGCAGAACAAGTACCGACGTGGATATTGGTAAGCTGGAACTTCAAACGCATCGTATTATTGCCAGTACAAGGCAACTTCTTCAGCGCAGTTTTGTTGGACCGAGTCGAAAATTTAGTAGAAGCTCAACTTCAAGACCAACAGGCTGGCCTCCGTAAAGATTGACTATGTACTGACCAAACTGTTACACTGGATCATTGCTGAACAAACAGTTGAATACGACTCATCAGTATACATGAAGTGCCCCGAATAAGAAAAAGTAATTGATAACATAGGCAGGAGAACCTTTATAAACCTTCTTCGATACTATATTATACTATATTATATTATCAACATCTTGCGGAATTCTTATGATAGATTCAGTGCAAAATCATGCAAGGAGGATGGCTCACAGATTCATTCCAAGTGAAAATCGGTGTCAGACAAGGCGGCTTACTTTCGCCATTTCTCTTTGTTCTGGTTGTTTACAATAGAAAAAGCAGGATCCTGATATGCAAGACAGAGAGCACCAACCAAATTACACTTGGTGGAATATATCTGGAAGAGGCGGAAACCTTTCAGTACTTGGGTGGTAGCATTGATAAACAACTGCTTCAAGCACCATCATAATGTACAGTTGTTTTTAAAAAGTTGTCCACACAAATTATTCCGGATTCTTTGAACAGACACCATCGGTGATAATCTACTGTGGCAGAAAACAAACTAGCTGAGGAAAAAACTAAGGAAAGACGCTGGAGACGGATAAGGCATACATTTTGGAAATCAGCAGACTGTATCCAAATGCAAGCTGTAACATGTAATCTTCAAAGATAAAGCAAAAGGAAAAGACCAAAGAGCGCATGGTATCGTGAATTAGTGGTAGACATTGAAAGAATGAATATCACTTAGGAAATATCAGAAAAAAAACCTAGTATAGATTAGGTAGGCATGTACTCTACTTGGATTAACAAGTGCAAGTAATTGATAATAGACTGTTTATGTCTGTCTTTTTGGTGCCTTATTTCCGTTTCACATGTTCTAGTCATTGTATGTCCATTATAAATTTTATTTGGGGTAAGTAAAGTTTATCACACATAAAATAAAGAATAATTTATTCACTGCAGAACTAATGGTGGTGTAAAAGGGAAATTATCGGTGATATTCAGAGAAGAGGTTAGGCTTTTGGACTCGAGACTGAAGGTTTAGGGTTCTGTTCCCACATTTGAGGTCATGGATGTTTACTGTTCATAACGAAGTGGTCATTCAATGCTCTCGCGTTTCCAATATTTATCTAACTTATATCAGTTCATGATTTCAATAAAGTTACGAAGTCTCTACAACCTCATACTGACAATTATTTCATGTAAAACAAAAGTTATATTAAAACTATTGGAAAATTTTAACTTCGTCATAAGTTATTGTCTTACTGTTCTACAGTTTTTATTCAGGAAAAATAACATTTGTTTGTTCTCATTTCTTGTTAAATTCAGACTAATGTACTAAATAAAAGTGATCAGGAATGTATTTTAATAAAGTTTCTCACCGTATACATAGAATAGATAGGATGCAGCCATCAGTGGAATCCAAAACGAACATTTCGTCCTCTTTGGGACTCTTCAGCTAGATTTACCTACATTTCAAAATTAATGTTCACTTTGGGACTCAACTACAGGATAATACAAACCATTTCAAACTGAATTAAGTTTCTTACGGTAGTTCTAGAGGTTAAATCACTGCTAATCAGTAAGTTTCAAGTTCAACTAACAAATTCATAACATTGAAATGTATTTTCTGGTATGTTGTCTTGACTGAATTGATTTAAAACCTCACAGGAATATAGTACGTCGTTTGAAATTATGACCTAATATTATTTAGGATAGGTGTCATTTCTAATTCCGGTATTTTTGACACACAACGTAATCAGTTATCTGTCGACCTAATTGGAACTAGACAAGCACTTGTTTGACCTTACTTCCAACAGCTTAATCTCGTCCCTGCAGTTTGCTCTTAACATCCACTGCACAACCATATAATTCTGTTTCCATGTTTAAGTCTCCAAACCAAGTTTAGAATTGACGTTAAGGAATGATTCGGATAATGGATAACTAGTTTTCGTTGTGATTAAAATCGATATTTTTACAATAAGGGAAAAATACTTATTGGTATTTGGTTCTTAGTATTCTGGATCAACCGACATGCTGCAGCACATGTACGTATGCTGCTTTTACACAGCAAAAAGGTTCTCATGACTGCCGATATACAATCCTTATTGCTAAAAGGGTGCATACATTTTGTCTAGTTTCTCCCAAAGGTCAGTTGGACATCCAGCCAGTCGGTGCATCAATGGCCACATCTGTACGGGTGCTTATGAATCCACCCGATCCCTCTTACCAATACCCGATCGGCGAGAGCAGCAATGTGAGTAAAAGCAGCTAGACCTGACACCATGTACAGGTTACCAAGCAGCCCAAGTCGTGCACTAACCAGCAGCCATTCCTACTCCTCTTCCAAAGTATTTGCCACAACATATCAAGCGCCAAGCCCACGCCCAGCGTCACAATGGAAATTATTGAGGAGACGTCCTCAAATCATTATGTCAAGCAGGGGTGAGCACCGATGCTTTGCAACATCAAAGTTTTACGGACAAAACATTTGGTCGTCTACAGACGATTCAGCGCCCTCGCGATCATACCACAATTAGATATTGTGTCGATCATTGTACCCCATGAACTGGAGCATGTTTTATGGTAATCGCTCTGGTATACCATCAAACCTTATGGGCCAAGATGAACTGATCAAGACACCAACAGGAATACGTAGGCTGCGGACAACCACATTTCGGATACAGTGTGCCTTCACCAGATGAATGGGAGACAGATATAAAGACATTCGATCTGAATTCCTCAGGTTGGCAGGTTCACGCTGACGACCTTGCGACTGTGGACACGTAAGATTATTCTGGACCTCTTCCTCCTTGCGTACTAAGCACAGTATCTAAAGAGATCGGATATGCGCCATTTGGCCGCAGCGCTGTAAGCAACGCCTAGTTTCTAGCGAGATTACAAAGAAGTAGTTGCCACCACAACCATAAATCTTTCTATGCCACATACTTGTCACGCAGATGACGAGGAATCTGGCTACCTTAAGAGAATCATAGTTACTCTCTTATTCTGTTATAAATAAGACGAAAATTAGAGTTAGAGTTGTTTTCAGACTAGAATAAGAATCAATATAGAATAAAAGTATATTTTGTGCATACAATTGCAAATAGTTTGGTTTGACATGTGAATAGACTCTAAAAGTATTATAGCAAATTTTTTTCTTTCCACGTTTGTGTTGATAATATTAAATAGTAGGGCGTTGAGACCAGGTCAGATTTTAGTCTAACTCCTCATTTCTGTGAAGTGTTTCTGCCATGAGTAAATTTTTGTGATTTTTAATGCTTTTCTGAATGATTTAAATATTATCAAATTCTACCTAGTGGTCTAATATCATAGCCTGTAAGCGTATGACGAAAGATTTTTTAATCTACAATATTTGGAAAAGATGTTACACGGTAAAATGACTGATGTGAACCCAACTGTTTTTACTTTCATTATTTTCAGAGCAGTAGGAATGGAAACTATAGCATGTTCTGCTGATCTTAGCTGGCCTACCAGTCAACTTGGTAACCTGGTCCCATTTGGAGCTAATGATACCACGGGTAAAAGTGTCACATCAACAAGTAGTATAGAGCATCCAGGTCGTTCTGGTGGTCCAGGTGTAGTACCATTAAGATTGACACATTTAGTAAGAGATTTAACATTACCAGATGTTACTGGTTGTTGTTTTGAGTTACACAGTTCAGATGGTCGACGTTCATGTCTGCTCCGTGCACCAGATGCTCAAGAAGCTCGAATGTGGTTTAATGCAATACACAGTAAAATGAAAATTATAAATAAATCTTATTTGGCTGAATTAAATCGTCTACTCCCTCCAACTCAAGTAAGCTACAACAGTTATTGTATCAAAAATTGTTATTTATTTCACAATATTATGCTAGATGATTATATTTTACTGCTCGCTAAAACAAGTTAAATAAAATTTATTCTTGTTAGGTTCGCTACGAGTTCAGCTATAAAAAGCCTAGTTCTCATCATTAAAAAAAATATTAACTCTAATATAATCTGAATGGCCACATTTTAGTTTCTACAAGTAGAGATCGATATGTCACTCTTTATATGATCTATTTTTTGAACGTCCATAGTAATCTAAATATGTTTGTCATTTAATACGGATTATTTATTCCTTTGATGTGGGTGGAAAATTCTGCTTATTTAATATCTACAAACTGATTGAGAAACTTAATTCAGTTCTTAAACCTACTGGTTATTAGAGTAAAAAAGTTACGTCATAATAATAAATTTAAACTGCTCCATAGTAAAATAAAAGTTTAAATTGCTGATGGAGTATAAGTTTCTTCAAGATTATATGCACGACATATTGATGAGTAGCAGTGGATATTAAACATAAGAAGAAGAGAGTATTTCATAGTGTACAATTTTTAACTCAGTACCGAATTGGTACTCCGAAGTAGATTAACTCCTATTAGTACCTAAGATTTGCGAATAATGTTGTCTTCCCTCTGATAGTTAACTCATTTGAGCATAAATACGCTTTGTTTAATTGAACAAACAACTTACTACAATTTTTTGCAGCTACAAATTACTCCTAAAAATGTGTAGAATTCACCAAGATCTGGTCTTATCGAATAAAAAATTGGATACAGAATCAGCCACATAAAAACAACACACTCACTGTGAAAACTGCTGGTTTTTAGTTTGACCTTTTAGTTGTTTTGTGGATGTCTGTGCAATAATAAATATAACTCGTGTAAGCGTGTAACTGCTAGTTGCAGCACTATTTAAACTATTATTAGGTTTGACAAAATCTCAAATGCGGTGATTGTATTGTTTTCCAATGTTGAAATCACAAACTGATATCAGTTAGACTGACATTTAAAGTCTGGGATTACTGGATGGCTGTTATGTAAATGTATGTGAATATCCATCAGTAGGCATCCACAACTCAGAACGTGGATCTCGTTCGCAAATGACTAACCTGTAGACCATTGGGAAAATAATACAATCTCCGCCAATCCTCTTTATTAATAACAATCATGTGTTCCCTGATTACCTTCAGGATATATTCCTTGAGTTCTACTGAGAAGCGATGACCAGTAGAGTTCAACCTGTACGCTATGTGAGACAGTTATCTACCAGAGACAATAGATGCAGGTTGCGCTATATCGTGGATTGATTTAAAACAGACTTTAACCCCATCGGATGCCTGTTCAGTGGTCTAGAGGTTAACCGTTCACGCATGAGCTCGAAGGTCCTGGGTTCCATTCCCATGTGCAAAGTCGTGTATGCACGCTGCCAACTAGCACGAAACGACCTCTAGTACTCCCAGACTTAAAATCTTGATCGGTTCGGGATCTCAACTTTGTAAATTAAGTAACTGGAGGCATTGGCTAAATCTCGATTCACGGGAACCAGCTAAAATGTTATTAGAACATCAAGCCCAAAAGACAGGGAAACGATTTTGCATAAATCCATTCAAAAGTGATAAAAATACAAAAAATTCAGTTTATTGAAAAGTTAAACAAAAAATTGTCCAATTGATGTTAGAGCAACTGTTGTCATGATCTGATCAAAAATGTTAACCTATAGTTCTGAAATTATTTATGGCTTCAGAAAGTAGGTCGATTAAAAATGATTGTCTATTCTTTTCAAAACAAGCGCGGTTTACTTTATCAGAATACTTTAGTAAACAGCAACGGATATATAATAAACATAAATGGTCAGCGAACCTTGAACGAAAACAAGGTCAGCATTTATTGTCTGTTTGTAGTAACAATAGGAAACCTCCGCACTCAGACACACGTACCTACATCCTTCACATGATGGACGGATTTTACAAATGGAATTGTCTCTTAACCTTATTATAAATGAATCGAACATCGTTAGACAAGCTTTAAGTGTGATTTTTCTAATTTATTTATACATCATTTGGTAATGTTGAATTCCTGTATTTTCCCTTGACGAAGTTTATACCAAGTTCATGGATGAAACGTTTTAGTTATTTTAACTTCAGTCGTTGAGGTCATTTACATACCAGTTTTTCGTTTAATGTACGTTTTAATCAGTTGACATTGACGATGTGAAGAAGTTGGTAAGTATTGATATACTATCACAAAGTTGTAGGTGATCGTCCAAATAGAACGATAACTTGTACAATATACGAAATGTAAAATTGCGCATAATGCGGCTCTGAGTAACAGGAATTTAAAACAGAACTTTATTCTTCATGTGAACATATGATACTAATTTTGGTTGATTGTATCAATATAAAAACTATTCTTCTTGTAGTTTTACTTTGAGAAATGATTTTGCTTAGCCAGCTATTAAAAACGAAGATGGATCTAACAGTTATAGAACTATTTAGGATGGTATGTACACGACTACAATCATCATCAACCCATAACATTCAGGCTTCGGAAAGCGCGATTAGCCTTTACTACTGAGTTTAGTTTAGTTTACATTTCAAACTTCAGTCAGTTGGCAGTAAATTGTAAGATTATTAAAATTTTTACAGAAATCGAGACTAACTTTGAGTTTTGTTGATTCGATTTCAGATGCATGTTTAAACCTGTAAAGTTAAACATCTGGCGTATAATTTGTCATCTACAATTTCACTTTCCCAGATTTTGAATGTATATTCCAAACCTTTCTTATCTAAACTTCACTAGTTTCCACTTCAGTATCTGTATGTTCACAGTTGTACCTGAAAGCTATGTTACTGTTGACTGATTAATCTTGTTTCTTTAGGGTGTTTACGGAGATCACTTCAATTCACAGTTAGTTTTTTCACAGCCTAGCATAATTTGAAGAAATATTTAAATTCAAGGACAACTGAGTTGTTTTATTTTGAGACTCTTCATTGCTGTGCACTGATGAACCCAGACTTTATCGAATTCAGAGCCTACGAGCTTCGTATTGATCAAAGCAAATTTAAACCTTATATTTGTTCACTGAAAAATATATAAACCGAACAACAAATCATACACATTTTATCTAAGTTAAAGCCATGAAACAACCATTTTACACCGAAATTAATTCTAACTTTCATTTCTTATTTTTACAAAGATTTTTTTGTCTCTCCTAAAAAGGAACTTAAACAACTGGATTGGTTAGTGGAATTACGATGTACTAGTTCAGATATACCGAATAGAGTCGGCGATCAAGCGGATGACATAAATGGAAATATTGTAAGTGATATTCTATCGGCTGAAGACCACACACCAACAGCAGCACATTCAAAGTTGATTCATACAACATGGAAACCAGTATTTGCAGCTCTATCCGATAGAGATTTACTGTTGTATGACACGGCGCCAACATCTAAAGAAGAGTGGGCCAATCCTGTACAAGCACATCCATTGATCGCTACACGTGTTGTGGCAGTAGATTTAAGAAAATCAATTCTAAATGATGCTCATACTCAAAATGAAATCGGTCGTAGATATCCTCCTGGCGATATGGTTACATTTGTAACCAGAACAGGTGAGTATACTGCAGACAGTTATTTGTTTACTGATGTCATATGTGTGAGTTAATTAGTCCTGAGAACTGTAACAAATTAACAGAAATCTACAAAAAACCATGAGTTTAATCGTATAAGCGTGATTTTTCTGCATTTTCTATTCAGGTAGTAAACATGGCGTTGAATCGCATACGTTTGCCGTATCTACTCATGAAGATTTGATGACATGGTCTAATGCAATTATTGAAGGTGCACATATGGCTGTAGCCGGAGCTCAAGAAGTAGTTATTACGTGCAGGTGGCAAAATTATGATTGTCGCCTAACTTTACATTATGATACTGGTTTAAAGTTAATTTCTTGTCAATTTCCTACGGAATCGCATTCAATGTCACATGGAAATATGACTAGCGGACATGTGATATGGCAATACCCATATGAAAGATTAAGATCAACTGCAGATGATGGGAAGACAATTCTGTGGATTGATTTTGGACCAGATGGAGAATATGTAAGTAGATGAAGAAAGACTACTGATCAATAAGGTTATACTTATTTAGTGTTTGTTTAAATTAGAATATTTGTTGCTTCTTGACAGATAAATAGATGATATAAATAAGAAACATTTTCAGCTTGGCGTGATAAATCTCGTCTAAATATGTTTTTCACGGTTACAATCAATTGCGCCATGTCCAAAACAGCTTGTCAGTCAATTTTGATAGTGCACTTTGAAGATGAGATTTTTCAGAATTATGTCATGCAAAGTAGCGCAATACATTTTAAACAATGTGTCCATATTTTAATTTGCATATATATATTTGTATAAGAAATGAAAGGTCAGATTATACAATTAGAAACTTATTATGTAAGTATAATCACTACTAGTAAAATGAACGCTTCTATGATACACCCAAAAGTTAAGCAGCTTGAAAACAACTAAATCGTATCCCACCAGATTTTCTGCTTTATATGTGCGTATGGATAGACTTACACAGAAAGAGTAATCGTGATTTACAATCCCGGATAGTTATACATCTACTCAGTTAATTGACAAAAAGGTCAAATTCTGTTGACCTACGTAAGAAAATACTTATCCTACTCTACTGTTTATTCAATAGTTAGAATCAAAGCTAGGCTACCATTTAAAACCTAATTGGTTCACGATTTCAATGAAATTTAACAATTTCCACAACGCCATATTGAAAATCTAGTTGAAATATTCATTGAATCAATCCCAAATCAGACATTGTAGTACTTAGGCTAAGTGTTCTACAACCCAAACTGATTCCTGCATATATGATCAAAATCTGTTTGTGCTTACGTTAAGCTTACGCTGGTTTAATATTTCAAACCGTGATCATTATGTCTTTCTTTATGCTTTCATCCGTCTTGTTTACTCTTTTTTTAACGCCTCAAATTACCATATAGTTTTACTAAATCTCATTACACTATCTATTAGTACTGCTACCTATATTACAAAATTGATTGTTAGAATCTTTAGGTGCACTGCAGTTAAACGTTCATCTAGAGACATCATCTGTTTTCATCATTACTCAATACAGCATTCAAATAGTTATAAGTGGTTTATAGTTTATTAAGGAAATTGGAATTCGTGGAACTCAATTCTACAGAAAGTGACACTTTCACTGGTGAAGACAATGTTATGATAGTCGTACAGTATTGCAAGTTGACTCAGTTTGAAAATATTGCTCATTCAATTTTACATAAGTATGACTTAACAAAAGTGAAAACTTCCCAATCTTTTAGGTCGCGTGTAACGTGGAAGGTTTAGGTAGGTATGAGAATATACATGCATGAATACATGTTGCTCAAAATCTTGTTTTAAACAATATTCGTTAGTCAATATTGAATTAAAATGAACATTGGACAATTCAAATCATAGTTTCTTCTCGATATTTGGGATTTACTCAAAACACTGAAAATAAATAACTCACATTGGCAACTTTTTCCAATGTTTACAATGGACAGAAGAGAAGCAGAGGCTATAGAAAAACAATGATGTGCTTAATATTCAGTGTCTATTCTCTAGAACATAAATAAACTAATTACAATATAATAAATAAAAAAGAAACAATTCAAAAACATTGTGGTAGTAAACAAGTCACGAAGTTTTTTTCCGAAAATGGAGGAATAAACTTTATAGCTTATTTGTCCGCGAACTAGCCAATCTATACTCCTAGTTTTTGGATGCTTTTGTATGGGGATAGCTAGACTTTGAAATAATGACGCTCAGTAAATGTCCTTCTACTTTACCATAAACGGATTGTGGTGTATTAATTATGACAATGTATAAGTCCGTCTTAAACAGTATTTTATTGTAGGGTTCCATATTTTTGAAAAATAGACAATCTGCCTGTCTGTCTAATATTAATTGAACAGAGTTAACGTTAAAGCGGAACTGAAGATTTTTGATTCTGAAAGGAATCGAGCATGAAATCGTAATAAGTTGTTTTAAGTATTTGACAATTTGAGAATAAACAAGGTAGTTAGATTGCGTTTTGAAAGCAGACAGTTCCTATTTGAAATGAACACAGTTCTAAATATCAGAATCCCGAAATTAATTTTGCCTAAAACATGAAGTAACTAAAGAGTGATCAGGTAGTTGTGAATGCAGTTATCATTCATTGAAGAGGTGATAAAGGGAGATAATTAGTGTGTTCTAGTGTTTCAGCTTACTTCAAAAGTGTTTGCTATTGTTGGGGACGTTAAGTCCCCAGAACTCACTTGTTAAAGGTCCTAATTTTGGATTTTATGTTTTAGCGCATGGGCTGATCAGTTAACCCTGAGATTAAATTTTCCACCCGGAAAATCCTTGACTGTTATTGTTTGACGTATTATTTCAGTACGCTATTTTTATGGCTCTTCTAAGGACGTTTCTATGATGTCTAAATAAACCCAATTTGTGTGCTTGGGAACCTCGATTTTCTGGGTGCATGTAGAATACACTTTCTACGTCTTGTCAAGACTTCTTCCTCCACTTACTGGGGCCTTGGGACGCTCGGATTAGAGTAGCCTATCGTGTCACTGGATCATTTGTCTTTTCTTTTGTTTACCTACTAAGGTGAACTCATAATAGTTTCAAGCATATCAACTGATGAGCACATCAACTCTAAAAGATTATTGTACAAAACTTGAACCTAATTCATATGTGAATTCCTACCATTTGGTAGTTGGAACCAAATTTATTAAACAGAGTTGAGCATCAACACAAACTGTATTTCTAACGCAACTACATCTATGTTGCTTGATTTCTAATTGTTTTACAATTGAATATGATATCTTTTGTTAGTTTCTTGTTCCTTTTTATCTTTGTCAATAGTCTTACAAAAATAATTCCAGAAAAGTTAAACATAGAGTATTAACTTGTAATCGGCTGAATGATGATATTTTTTTCGTGATATATATATATATATGCTTTCTAATCATTGGATTTTGTTTATTATTCAGTTTTATATAAATTCTTTTTACATGTTAATAAAATTTCTTATTTGTTAACTGACAGGAATTAGATTTACTTGGATGTCCAAAGCCTGTAGTATTCATTCTACACAATATATTATCTGCCAAAGTGACTAGACGTGGATTAATTGGATAATAACAGAAACGTCGTTGATCAATTTTTTATTAACTTTTCAATATTCAATCTACCGGCACATACACGCACAAAATGCGCACACAGTCATGTAGTTGTTAACAGAAACGCAACGAATATTACTAATAATAATACAAGAACAAGCGCAGAAACATTAATCTGTTGTATAATATCATTCTATATATATGCATACATTGGTAAATTAATATGATTATCTTTGAACAGTCCTTAATAGTTATTTATTTTCAAACTAATCTATTTCGCAATAACAAAAAAGTTATTTCAGTCAGTCTCATTGTGTACGGTACATTCCAATTTCAAAAAAATATATTTAATTTTAACAAATCATTGTTATTGATCACATCTGTGGAGAACAATTAATGATGCATTGCGATATGTACAGAGAGAGAGACGGAATGGGATGTACTCCTTGCTTAATTCTGCATCATTAGACTATCTCTTGACATTTTTTTACAACTAATTAGTTCCAGTTTCACATCCCTTGTTTTCTTTTGACATTATATTGTTTGGTTGTTTATTCAGTGTCAAAGTGTGGCCTCAATTAAATAAAACACAAGGGAAATGTACGTAAATGAAGTGAAACCGGCCATTTACTGTTGTTGTAACTGATGTTGTTTCGTTATAATAATAATTATCATTATTACTATTATTATGACTACTATTATTATTGGTAGTATTAGTATTCCTGTTATTCGTCTGTGATACATTATCACTTATTTTCTTTTATCTTGATAAAAAAGGCATTTCTTCAACTTTAATCAAATATAAATTCTACTAAAACGTAACTATTGCCGATAATCGTTTTATAATGATAATAATAATGATAATTATTATTATTAGTAGTATTATTAATGTCAATCATTATCTATCTGTTTTATAGCCTGCCTACTTACCCTATTTGTAATAGTGATCTATTTATTCTATATTACTGTTTCTTTGAAAACTAATACATCTAATGTTTGAATTTTAAAATGAAATAGGGATGTGTTGTTTAATTCTATTTTTCAGTGTTCATCAGAAGGGGAGGATATATATGTAAAAAGGAGTTGTACTGTTGAATGTTTGAATTTTAAATTATTTTTTTCCGAAACGATTATGGTGTCGGACTTTGATTAAGTAGGGCAGTTCAATCGAAGGATTCTGAGATGTGAGGAGGATTTCTTTGGCAACCCTCGTGGACTCTAAATTCACCTCCAACGGAGAGTGTTTACTTTTAGCTACATTCTAACCCTTAAACAGACAGCATTAGTTGGCTGGGATACTGTTAATTATAGACATTGCACAGTGTCCATCCCAAAGCTATTTATCAAGGACAGCCCTACTCCCCAGTAAGCTTCCATCTGATACTGGAACATGATATGAAACAAGTGAATTTTGTCTAACGACCCTGTACATGTTTTGTAGCGTTTTGGCAGCTATAGTGTCTCCTTTTCTGAAGCTAATCCCGTGATCGGTACCGTTCACAGATTCCAAGATGTTTACACCGACCAGGGGTTTTTTCACTGTATTAAATCAGGTTGTTACGTATTTAGTGAGTCATTCGGTGAGCAAACTCAGTACACCGATGGGGTTCAATAGGTTTATTTTTCATGGGACTCTTTCCTTCACTGTTGTTGATTTTGCCAGCTTATTGATTCTATTCTTTCGACAAACGTTCTAGAACTAGAGACTGGTGGTCCTTAACATGGGTCCATATTACATTCTAGTTACTTCAGTATTACTAATGCCGTGAACTCATCTACTGCAGAGGTCTCATTCACTGCTGACGGGCTATTGTGTCGCTGTTGTGTCTTTTCTGAACAGAAGGCAGTGTCGTTGGAGTTTGTGGACATCGTTTTGCTCCAATTAATTTTCTGCCTACTAGTCTTATTGGGAGTAAGAATCCGGACGACAGTGTCATCTTGACTGAGTAGTTGTAGATGTGGTTGATATGTTTGGTTAGGGTTACCCCTGTTTTACACACTACTACATATCGCTTTCAGCTATTTCATAATCGTGTTGCAAGAACCTGGGATTTTTGACTCACTACTAACCCTAGTATATATAGTGTGGGGACTGGTGACAACGTTAATACTGTACAAGTTACTGAACAGACTACAGACTGGATTGCCAGATATTTTGAAGAGGAAAATACTCAGGATATAATCGGTGAGGGAGGAAAGTAATGACACTAAATTAGTGAATATATACTGCTCATGAGTAGAACCTGAAAACACCTGAGATTCCAACGTTATTTTTGACCGTCCTACCAAGAAACCTCACTTGTATACAGCACTTTTTTCTACAAATCCTGTGTTTGTAATTGAACGAAAGTGTGTATGCTACTGTCTGAAGGAATTAAGAAGGGATCAGTTGATCAAGACAGCTAGATACCACACTGTGGTTCCACCTCGGTATGATTAAATTTATCTGATTTGTTATTTTGACTGTCTTTCAATGAGAGGAGACAAAGTTTCGGTCTTCGGGAATGTTTAAATTTCCCCATTCAGTATAGAAACTGGATTGTTTTCTGATATTTGTAAGAGGTCAACCAAGAAATTTCAATTTAAGAAAGCTTACTGAGATGAATTAATTGAGCAAGGATTTATAGTCTTTAGTTTCACTGTGAAAAAATGAGTTTTATTTTGAAATGGTTGTATAATGGTTATCTATACTTTATAAGATGGTGCAGGAAACTATCATTCATAAGGCGACTAGATGACAGCTATATGACCGTCTACAAATTTTGCATTTCTAACTGGACGAATATGTGTACTCTGATGTTTGAAGGAACTAAGAAGTGATCAGTTGATCGAGACGGCTAGTCTCACCACACAGTAGCTCCACCTTCGTATGATTACGTTTATCTGATTTGTTTTTAGATCGACTATCAGAAAAAGAAGAGGAGGTTTCTGTCAACGTGAGTGCTTCAATATTCCAATTTCATAGTGAAAATCAGATTTTATCCTATTATCGGTGAACGAGCATCTAGGTCTTATCTTTTAAATCTCCTCTCGATCCAATCACCCTCTTTCCATTGCATGTATTTTTCACCTCGTTCGCACTATATTGCTCAGTTTCGGGTAGAGAACAATACAGAATTTGATCGTATGGTTTCCTCATAAACTAATAATAATGCACGTGAACTTGATAATACATACTCCTTTGTTATGTCTGTAGTGGTTTACTTTTAGGAAGAAAACACAGCTGCTGAAATATAAACACTTATTATTATACTTAATTCTGACCATAATTGTTATATTTTACACCTCTTGTTTATCTCTACTAAAGACTATCTCTCTGGCGCCAAGCGTGTTATTTCCATTCTCCTATTCGCACGTCTCTAGCGTGAACGTTAGCCTATTGTACGTTCTCTTGCCTCGATATTATTTCGATATCAAGAGGCCAGTATCAAATATATTTCTTCCTCTAGGATCTACTTCTTATTTGATTCTCAGAGTTCGTGGATTAACATTTGTTATCCCGCGAAGAAGTATATCGTACGAATTGCTATGTGTCTCTGATATCTTTTCATTCGAGATTCGTTACAGTTGCTTGTTTATATGTGCTAGTTTCCATTCTTTATGCTGTAATTGTCATTATGGTGATAGTGAGGCTGTTATTCAGGTGTCATTAGTTTGTTTATATCCATATCATACTCATCTTGAGTGCGTGCGCTTCGAAAGTAACGAGTCTTCGTTGACGTCCTCCCATTTAGAGGAAATAATACAGTTTCGGACACCAGATTTGATTAGTAAATCGTTCCCGACAATATAAACTTTGTCTCTGTTAATCAGTAGACAGTCTGAGTAACAATTTGACAAACGGACCCGCCACTTTGCCGTAGGTCTACCTCTCTCGATCAACTGCTTTTTTCGTAGTTGCTTCGGGAGCAAACACACATTCATGCATTCAACGACACATGACTTGTAGGAAAGTTACTAGATCCATGAGAAGTTGATTGCTGGGACGATCAAAGGTCAAGATGCAATTCAGGTTTCTATTCTTTCGTAAATTATATTTATTATTATTATTATTATTTTCCTCCTTCGAAAACTCCTACCTCACGTATTTTCTCAAAGTTATATTTTCCGTCATTAACTCTTTCAGGTATCATCTCCATTAATGGGGTTGCTACCAATTCCTACAGCATAACAATTAGGAAAACTAGAATAGGTATGTATTCCGGGGTTAATGTTGAGTCGAAAATCCCAGTCTGGAGTGACAGAGTATTGAAAAAACGCAAAAAAGTCACTCGATGGTGTGCCTGGGAGTAATGTTCATAATTCTAGTCACTCAACACAGACACCTCCACTGAGTCTCCAGCAAAAATACTAAGATGAAACCCTTCTCATATTTCTACTCCCAGCGAGACCAGTGAGCGAAATAAGAATAGGTGCAAAAGGCATCTTTAAACTCGGTCGATACAGCCTACAGTTCAGAACTCACAAAAGGAAAACTGTATTGCACGGGTTCATTGTCACTGCGACACTGTAATACCTAGGCAGTTCTGGTATAGCTGTCCAAATTGGAGGACAGCTTGGCATAAAAAATTTGCAGCAAGGAAGCCATAGACCACACCTATAAATGCACCTAAAAATCCATATAAATAAACCGAAGTCGTCCAGCACCACACTGACGAAACAGGCAACGAAGCTAGCCGTAGCTCCAAGTGATATGCCGACGAAACTGCCGGTTGTTGCAACCCCCCTAGCATCTCTACGTATCACTGGATAAGTCTAAGAAACGGAAATGACTGCATAGCAGAGTCAAACCTGACAAGGTCAGGGTCAGGGACAATAAACAAAATTCCCTAATTTTGGTTAACGTACCAGTGTTGGAGAATAGCTCACTTGAAAGTAGAGTTACCTTTGGTAAAGAACAGTAGGTCATTTAGTGCGTATTTCTTGGAATGAGCTGTACCCCTGCCAAACTATGCCTTCTTTACAAAGGTCAGAATGTCACTAAAGCTAAACCGCCTCCATGGTTACCATAAGCTCAGCACAAATTCTCGAAGAAATCCTCCTAACTTTTCAGGGACCCTTCATTAAATTTTCCGCGAGAATCCGAGTTGGGCCCGACAAAATGAGGTCAGTACGAGCAGCTTCCAGGACGTCAAAAGGCATGGTGCTCCGGAGTTTTAGTGGTAGCCTGGATGAAAATCACTTGCATGATCTTCAACAGGGGCGATAGCTCCATCTTTGATGGCTACGGACCTCAGACCTAATTCAGGTGCTTTAGGCTTGGTACATCAAGAACAACGATTTCTGTATTCGCATTAGATGCTGCGAGAAATCAGAAACACCAGCTCCCACAACGATCTGAGGTCATCATGCTGACTGAATCATGAATAACCTCTGACGTCGCAGACGATGAAGTGAGCTTGCGATGCATGCGATAGAGAACACTAGACAGAAGTTGGAGTGGCCATTATCACTAACAGCCGTTTCAAGGTCGTAACGCCACACGGTACCCAACTAATTGATGTGAGAGAACCATGCTGGTGTTGCCACAACACAGAGGATATAAATTAATTAGTTGGAGAGGTTCACCGGCCCTTTCATCTGTTACAGCCCTGTAAGATATGCTGGTTGTGCCAACATTCGAACTATTACACCTTGGATTTATCCAAGACTACTATCTGGAGACTTCAAAACTCCATATTTTAATCTCACCAAACAACATGCAAATCTCACTGGTTGTTCCTAAGGCGAGTTGGCACAACCACTGAAAATTCCTGAATGACTGAACATGTGTGGAAAGCGACCAGATAGATAATAGACAACCATCAAACTCGGATAATTTTGCAATAAATGATCAGCTGCTAGTCGAGAATTACCATGTTCACACAGTAGGAATTAGTGGTCAAGAACGCAGTCATGTTCAACATAGTCACAAATCAAATGATCAGAAGGGACAAAAACTCTTCCTCCTTTTACTACGCTGGGGTAAAATACACGACCATCAGAGAGCACAAAATAGATGACCACTGACAAACAGTGGGAGACATCATTCAGAATACGCAGTGTATCCCCGACAAATCACAAACCTGGAAAGAGTAGATTATGGGTTGAGCGTGGTACTCTTACCGCAGACGGAAAGGAGAACATGGTGAAAGTGGAAAGTCTCTCTGAAAATATCAGACCGAAGTGTTTACTCGACATTGAGATGCAGATTTATCACTCAAGTTGCAAGCGATAGAACAAACCTGGAGAAAATCGCAAAATATATTTCTAGGTGCGTAACCAAAAATCCTACAAATCAAGGTCTTTGTTCCCTAATATTTTCAATCAGGTAAGATCTCATGAACCACGAAATAGCGAAGATTTTCAACACACGCCACACCGATCAGTTAAGGCAAGTGCTTACGCGTTTGGAGTACTATCAGGAAGCTTAACACGCGTTTCGGACAGGCAGGTTGTAATAATCCAAACTTCTCATAGCATCTGACAGCTAAACAAACAACTGAGACCAGAAATATCGGTTTACATAATGTTCATTTACATTCAAAACCGTACTACATTTAGAAAGTTCACTTCAGTGAACCTTGATTTCGGAAACAGTTAGATGTCAGAAACGCACCTTGCCCAGTTCAATTTCAAAACTCATTCTGGCATGCTACGTGGATATTCTGTCTTTCATACAAAAGGCAACGTTGTCTAGATCGCTTGTAACATGGAGCTAGTAGAGAGAGTGAATTCAGATAAGGTGTACAAAAAATAGAGAATAGACTAGAAAACATTATTTACAATCAACCATTAAACTTTAGAGCCTAACATCACAAAAGGAGGGAGGGTGGTGTATCTGACCAGCATTCATAACAATGGGGCGATAACCTCAATCTACCCATGTCTGTGTGGCAGAACATTTTGTTTGCTTACGGCTCCTTACGATATAGCAGGATGTAACAAATCAGCAATACTTGATGTTACTTTCCCTTTTCAACCTCGTCTACGACTCATGTCGGTAACTTTGCACTCGTTTTAACTTCCTACCGAGAAATCCTATTACAAGCAGATCTGGACAATCATACAGAAAAAGAGCTCATTCATAACCTCTTGAGCACAGAGTTAAAAAGAAAAAGAATAAATAAAATAAAATAAAACCATAAGATAACTGAGCCCAGTTGTTATATTTTGTAAATCAACATTGATGCTAACAATTAGGTTATGCTGAATTTCCTTTATTCACAAGATTAATTGTCTATTCGTTACCTTACTACTGAACTGTCTTCATTGACCTACATAAGTGCAGGTGTGCAGTTAGTGTTCTGATATAAAAAAAGTCTTCGTAAACATACCTTTGTTTTATCCATTAACGTATATGCTAAGTCGTTGTTCGGCTTTAAACAAGAATATTTTCTGTTCTGCTCCTCGCCCCGTTCTCTTTATTCCTCTTTTTTCAGCACCTTATTCCAATCCTCCTATATTAGTCTGCATATTCGCCGTATAATTTGTAACCCTACCTAGGAGTCTGTGAAATCATTAGCTGATGAATATCAACCAGACCTTTGCACATTTACCGCATCAATTCTTGTTATATGCAAACCTAGCTTTACCATGCATCGTTTCGCAGTCAATAAGAAGATAGTCGTAAAGCAACCTTCGTAACTCACGTCAGTTATTCGCACTGTACATTCCATCTATAGGAATCCAACTAATCTCGTGGAATATTTCAGTAACCGTATACCGTTTTGAAAGAAATATGTTGCTAATCTTAACATTTTGATCTTGCCTGTAAATTGGCCTGTCTCTTGTAACATGTTTATTGTTTGGGAATAAATTATTATTATTATTAATATTTTACTGTTCCGATCCGAAATAACACAACGAGTTTCCGACTCTAGAAGAATGCGTCCTTCCATTCAAGTATATGAAGTTACCACAGAGGTATCAAATCCGATATGGCTGTAGCCATATTAAGTATCGATTTAAACAACACGTTTACAGTTTGGAAGGAAGCATATTAACTCCAATTAAAGCACAAAAAATAGGAATTATAACAAAATACAAATATTAACATCCCAAACTGGGACTAAACAGAGTACCAAAATATTAAACAGAAAGAGTCGTCAAAATCATAACACAAATAAATACATGGAGGGGTTTTCCCAAATACGAAGCCTTCAGAATGGATTCTACGCTACATGCACTCCCACTTAACTAACCCACTTCTATGTTGAATCAGAAATTACCCTAAGTATGCCAATTTTCGAATTAACATGCACGCGATTTGGCGAAATTCAATATCGGGAGTTCCAAAGGAGACCATCTTAGATGGACTCCTCTTCTCGATTTTCGTTAATGATTAGTTTAATAAAAATCGATCTACACAGACGGTGTTATGACATGAAGGTCCATAGAAAGCGAAGATAATTTAACTGAGCTTCAAAAGGACCTTATATCTGTTGAGTAATAGGTAGTTAGTCATGGTTTAAAACTGAACCAGTCGAAGTGATACCACGTTCTTCTAAAGGAGTGACTCAAAGCCGACGTTCTCAAAGGACGTTCCCCCCAAATTTCTCATCAGAGCGCGATCTCAGTCTAATAACCATTGAAGCCCTTAAAACCAGCTTCAACTATATAGAGATTACAGCCAAGATTAATGTAGCTCTTCACTTTATGATAGGACAACTTGGTGCTTTCATCTCAAAAATATTCTTATAATTTTCTATCTATTGTTCTCTACATCGCAACTAAGTGATCTCCGGCCTGGTAATGTGATAGCTGCTTGTAACCAGAAAGCCTACTGCACTGAAACAAACGTTTTCATTGAAATACTCACAAACAACTGCCAACTTAGTAGAACTAGTGCAGCCGAGTTGCTAGACACCAATCCATCAGACACTACCAGTTACCAGTTTTTGATATATCGAGAATCGGGCGCAGAGGAGCAATTCAGTTTATACTAACCCATGAAAAACATACTGGACCTTATATAGTGTACACAAAACAATTTATTGGAATGCATCTAAAAACATTTAAGTCCAAAATTACTGATCATAGCATTGCTTCTGAAACTAACTATGAAGTTTGTGATTTTTATCTGACCGACCGTCGTTGTTTGGAATGGAATTAGATGAGTTTTTATTAGCATAAAGCATAATGCATTGAAGCTGTTCGTGCGATGTTTGTTTGTATGTTTAAGTATCAAGGTCAAATGAGATTGTAGTTTCTATGCTAATTTAAGTGAGAAATCAGTCTCCCACTGAATCATTTTAAACATGGATAAAGTGCTGACGCTTGACACTATCAATCCTCATATGATTAAAATAGAATACGCAGTTCGTGGTCCGATTGTTGAACGTGCTCTACAAATAGAAAAAGAACTTAAGCAGGTAAACAGGTTCCATGTTTTATAATTGTTTAGGGTGATAAAAAATCGTTCAGTGAAGTTGTCAAGTGTAACATTGGTGATTGTCATGCAACTGGTCAAAAGCCAATCACGTTTCTTCGTCAAGTCACTGCCCTGGTAACTTTTCCGCATCTACTTGAAGACGAAAGCTTCCCGGAAGATGCTAAATCAAGAGCTAAGAACATACTAGCAGCATGCTCTGGTTCTAGTGTCGGTATGTATCAGTAGTGTACTATTACGTATGTTAAAATTGCTACTTGTGTCATCTTTGCTCTCTAAAAGTTTGAATTCACGTATAATCAACTTGGTTATAAAAATATACGGGCTTTCAAGTAACGTTAATTAAGTTCTTCTGGTAAAATAAGTTTCCATTGAGAGATTTATTTCAGTCGGCCTATTATCAAGGTGAAATTTTATTTCGTCCCTAATCTGTAGTTAAAGGACCCAGTTTTAGACGCTCGAAGAGATGCAATTTTTAATCATATAAATTATAAATCAGATTTAAGTTATTTCAGATAGATTGTATCGATGAAAAAAATTACTTTGACATTTCTAACTAATGGTGTCGGGTAATTTCAATTTTATTAGAAGCAAGTGACTTTTTCTAGATGGAGACAAACTCGAATTACGCATTATTTCAATTCCTCACCAATTATTATCTACTTTCATCTGTTAGGGCCTAGTATTAGGACTGGCTTTGTTGATACGTTGGTTAATTGCAGCACAATAACCCATATTTCACTTAAAATAAAAAAACCATTGTGTATCTTATCAATCGCTAGTATCGGAAATAATTACTCTACTTAAAACCAAGGTGAGATTAATGTCTTGTCTTGCTACTGGGATTGATGGGCGTTGCACATATGATATTATGTAATATAAATTGTTTAAGTACCATGTGATTATGCTTTTACTTAGGAAATACGCTAATAGCTAGCTTTTACTTGTCACTAATATCGATTCATTTATTACCATGCCGTCAGTTTTCTGCGCACTTATGGTACATGCAGCTCAGTGTTTACCCCGTTCCTTGATTCCAGGTTCTTACAGTCACTCTCTGGGGCTGGAATTAGTGCGCAAAGATGTGGCGAAATATATACACCAACGTGATGGGATTGAGTCGAAGTGGGAGAATATTTTCTTAGCTTGTGGGGCTACGGAGGCTGTGAAGGTATTTTTCTCTCGTTTAAAACGCTTCTTGTTATCAGATCACATAATCAACTTTGTTGGGTGCGAGTTTTATTGACTTAAGATTTCATTTTCCCAGGATTTATGTCGACTGAATCAACTTCAAACGATAAATAGCTAAAAACCACTTTCTACGTACTTTTTCTAAGAATCTTACTGAGTATACACAAGACCATTGGACGGGATTTACCACATAGTAGATTGTTTCACAGATTATTTGCTAAAATTTTCTCTAAACGCCTGAAAGTTTTAAGGAATGTTCACAACAGAGCTCAAACGTCGGTTTTAGTAGTTGACCGTTTACTAAAATAGGTAAAAATTTAGTCTGTTACTACTTTGTAGCTGAATAAGACATGCCAATAAAGTGAGAAGAGAGATGTTAAGTGTACTAAAAATCAGTTATTCACGTTTCGCTGCTTCATTTATATAGAGAATAAGGAACTAACACATATTAAAACGATAGAAATAAATTATTTTCCTTCTGAATAACGTTCCACTGAGTTTTATCCATTCATATTCGATTGTTTCAGTACACACAATCGATGCATTGAGGGCCAACACAAAGGACTTATCAACCATGAAATAACAGATTATCAGAATGGCTTGTAGTTTATTAGCTTTCTTAACGAGATTTCGAGTTATCGAGGACGCTTAATCATCGAATACATTTCAACACATAGTTTTATGTTGCTCTGATACTGGATCATATTTTCTGATAATTCTTCACTTATTGGAGAGGGTTTATAATTTCCGATTGTTGATATTCAGGACTGCAAATGATGAGTTCCAGCTGCCTTATGGGAATTATGAGCGCATTGCCAAGAAATAAAATTATGTCACAGGTTTTTCTGTGCTTGTTATGTGGTCAGCTGTGAAATCTTTAATTGAAACACGGGTAATATAATGTTACCTATACGCAACGTTTGAGGATTTGGTATTTTTCAAAACTAGTCAGTTGGTAACAACATAATTGTTCTTGGATTGATACATGGCACAAATAATCATGTGGTGAGTTTTTGGCGGCTTATATTGGTCTTTTTTTATTTTGGATATGGTAGATGTGGTCATTTCAGTGAATTTTGACCCAGCCACATTTTTGTAAAATTTTAGATGTTACTGGAAATGATATCCACCCCTGGTCAAGACAGTAAACGTGCAGGTGTTATGATTCCCGTACCACAATATCCTCTATATTCAGCTACGAATTCCGAATACAATAACTTCCAGGTTGGTTAATAACTCCTTTTTGTTACTGTTAACCAATTATGTGGCAAGTTTCCTCGTCAAATGTTATGGTATATGAATGAATTTTAGTCAGATTAGAATTTTGGCATAAACTGAATTCGTGTGGTTTTCATTAAATTTGAGGGTAAAATCCTATCTTCAGAGCTCTGGAAAGTGTCTTTTCATGGCTTTTTTTAGTCTATTGGCTTTAAATGTGAATAACATCTCTGGTTCCTTATTCGGAATTGTAGTGTTTATAATTTTTCTTCTGGTCATACTAATGAATCATCTATCTATTTATGGATTGCATTTTTAAATGCAACGTAACTCGTCTTACGTTTAAGAATGATGCTGGCCACAGTGAATTCTAAGAAAAGTTCATCTACAAAATGAGAACTTGGATAGCAATCTCAACTCTGAATAAATGACAACATACGTTTCTCTACTGTAGGTTTACATATGCATCATCGAGTTATGATAACGATTAACTCAACGGTACTTTTCACCATTTTATCACAAAACCTGAATCAGAAGTCAATGACTAATAATTTTAGTAAATTTCTGTGGATACCACTTGAAGTTTTCATCTAAAAATTATCCTGAGTTTTATTCTTCATTCATGCTAAAAAAATTTTAGATCAACTACTACCTAGATGAAAATGATAACTGGTCTTTATCTGCCGATGAATTGAAACGAGCACTGACGAGTGTAAAAGGACAATGCATACCAAGAGCCATAGTTATTATTAATCCAGGAAATCCGACAGGTCAAGTACTCCCACAAAAATGTATGGAGGATATTATTAAATTTGCAGTTGATAACCGACTGATTTTGATAGCTGACGAAGTTTACCAGCATAATTTTTACCAGCCGGACAAATATCCATGGGTTAGTTTTAAAAAAGTTTTGTTCAATATGGGACCAAGTTACTCAGAAAAATTGGAATTGGCTTCGCTCATGTCTTGTAGCAAAGGTTACATGGGAGAGTAAGTCATTATTTAAAAGATTTTCAACATGTAATCAACACTTCACTATTTATTGAGTTCTTCTTTAATTGTTCCAAAAAGTGAAGCAACTTAAACAGGTGTGCAGTTATATATTATTTATAAGCTATTGCGTGTTGGTCTACTGCATGAAATTGAATTACTCTGAGAACATTTGTCTTTTGGTCCCCTTTTTTTACCTTGAAAATTCCAAGTTAAGACTTGGTTTGCGATAGAGTTTAATTATTTCTGCAGTGTTCTACCCATTCCCACATTAAGTCCGTCTAAGGTTACTTCAGGCAAGAAGCCTGGATAAACTTTTTGAATATAAAGTTGGCCTTCCCATCCAGCAGAATCTTAATCAAAAAAATTCGAAAACTACAGAAACCAAATGCACTCACTACTTCTCTTAAATTGTTGAACACAGTCATAGTCGTTGTGTCGGATGAGAGGTTTTACAAGCCCTAACACACCTAAAAGTCTGAATAATGGAAGCCTGATAAGCTATAATTCTATGCTATTATTAGTTAAAAATAAATATTGTAACAAAACTTGATAACCGGCGTTGTTGAGCAACTCATCTAAATAAGAGAGAGCATATAGTGAGCTTTGCTGGAAATGTAGACTCAGAGAATACTGTCTTATAAGTAATAAGTTATGGTACCGCAAATAAATATTTTCCCGAAAGACAGTTTTATCGAGTTTATGTGGATTTATCTGATAATTTTACTTTAACTAAGTAGCGTATTTTTTGTCGGATCGTTTGTGATAAAATATTTTCGATGTAATGCTAAACTATATGTATGAACTCTGCAGAAAAAGCCATCTGAATACTCATTGTGAGACAGCTTATAGCAAAGTCATTAGTTTTATTTGGCTATTTCAGTGGATCTTCTAGGCAAGAACAGTTGAAAAAGTGCAATCTGATCTAGCTGCGTACTGATACTGGCTAATTTGACTTAGCGTTTGATTTCTTATGTTGTTTATCACTTTCTAAACACTACTTTCTCAATATTTCTATCTATTCTAGATGCGGATATCGTGGTGGATATTGTGAATTGTTAAATTTTGATCCAGCTGTTCAAGCCCAGCTTTATAAAGCTCTTTCAGCACGATTATGTCCACCTTTGATGGGACAGGTATAGTATTTCGTAGCTTTTAATTTATTTCACTTCAGTTCAGAGCAATTCTTATAAGTGATTTAACTTTCTCATTACGATATAATTCGAACGGCCATAATATTAATAAATTAAATAAAGATCGACCATTAATTAATATGTAGAAATTAGGAATCCGGTTTTTAATATTTCAGTTATTTAAATATTTCAATAAACGTTTGTCCAGTCATTCAATTTTCTGTTTGGCTACATTTTATCCATATAGAGCCATACATATACTTTTAAGAACCTGAACGTTATTAAACTGAAATCAAATTACCCAAACATAAAGAGGTAAATGGAACACGCATTGGAATTTATTAAACAATCAACATGTAACTGGGAATTTTAAAAGCTTAACCTGATTCATCAGCCACAATCATCGGAGTTCATGTTATTCTAATTCATAGCTGGTATCATGACAAAACGTGTCATTTCAGCCTTAAAAATTTAGCATAATAACTTATTCAATGAAGTAGGTAACACTAGGGTCACGATTTCTGCCTGGTTCATTCCAAATATTTATCATCTAACCAAAATGCCTCTGTTCAACCGACTTGATCGATTAGTAGGTTAATTTTAAGCAAAATACCGATGTTAAGAGGTCATGGTTTGTTACTCTAGAGGTATCATTATTATCTTATTGTCAAGGTGGGTCCTTTTTATCCAATACTTGTAACTTTAATGCTTGTTGACCTAAGAGGAATTGAGTATGAATTAGGTGTGGTGAATTCGACCTTCTCCCTGTGTAAGCTAGTTATGTTACTTTTGCGTGCTACATCTATTGCTGATTTTTATAAATCTATATCACCATTACACGTATTCAAGTTTGAATGCGTTCAAATTTATGAAGCCCCTCAGTTAAGCTATTCAATAGACAGTGTCAGTAATTTTGGTAACAGTTTGCTCATATACTTACGTCATTATCCTCATGCTTTCATGATAATGCATGTTTGATCATATATATATATATATATATATATATATATATATATGTATACCACCTCTTGCTAGCTTCAGTATTACCTACTTAAATCGCCTGATGGTCCATTCGCTTGCTTATGCATATGTACGTCCTAGATCTTATTTACTCATTCATTCTGATTTTTGTTCGTATTCACTGTATGCGTTTGATGGCATTTTGGTTTGCGCTGCGCAACAATACACTACTTACCGATTTATGCCGTTTTCTGAAATTTAAACACTGTTGAGAGTTGTTTAAAAGCAGTTATCAGGACAAGTGATATACGATGCACAGTAGTTACTTTAGCAAAATCCCACCACACCTTAAACCACACCAAGAAAATTGGATTGTCTCAAAGCTCTGAGACAATCCTTTTACAACCAGTTGTATCTCGGTTCAAAACAATGTCACGTGTTACCGCAGTAGATCTTGTTTCTAATAAATGACCAGTATATCATGTTTCTTTCTCAGTACATCAAATGTCTAGAAGTCTCATCAGTGTCATTTAATCTTTCATGCTTTTGTGTAAATCAACATTATTTAGGTAGTATTAGAAACGATCGTAAATCCACCTAGACCAAGTGAACCATCATATTCATTATTTATCAAAGAACGAGATGATGTATTAAGTGCATTGAAAGAAAAAGCTTCCATAACCTATAATGCATTGAACTCAATGTCAAATATGTCGTGTAATCCTGTTCAAGGAGCAATGTATGCCTTTCCGCGCATACATTTACCACCAAAAGCTATTCAGGAAGCTAACGTAAGTTTAGTCACAAACTTATATTTGAAACTTTTACCATTATCTCCATGTTTCTTTTTTCAGTTAAAGCTAATCCATTTCTGACCTGGGAGTTATATTTACTTACGGTGAATCAAAAATATCAATCGCTATCCGAATCTGTAGACTGAACCTCCCGAAACTTTGAAAACGCAGTGTAGTGCTTAAAAGTTCAACAGCTTAAACTTTCGAAGATTGTTTTCATTGTTTCATTTGAAGCAATTTTCTTCATTTTTGTCCCAATAACTTAACTGTCACTAAATGTGAGGGTTGGATTCCCAAAATTGGAAACATGGCTTTATGAGTGGTTAGCGAATACAGAGGTTCAAACCACACAGAGCTAGACTCAAACATATATAAGTTTTAGGTAGTTGGAAGTACTCATCAGGGCTTCCTGGACTATTGAATCGTAAGTTTCCTTCGTGGAAACTGTATCACATCAACTAACACCCATTACAATCAATCATAATTTGAAAATATCAGGTAAAATGAAATCAAATTTTCAGGAAATAACGTCCGATTATAGTGTTCGTCATGTTAACGTACCTAAAAGCAAATTACTACGTATCTATAGTCTTCTGTTCTTATTTCGATAAATTCATTATTCCCATAGTCAAAGGTTACCGAACAATTGTAAGCTGTCTGGGTCATTCGAATTCCTATAAATGAGTACCGGCTGCATGTATGTATGTATGTATTATTTCTTTTCGATTGGTGAAGGTTATGTTTGCTTTCACTTGGCTAGCTGGTTTTTCTTTGCGTTCGAAATGAAATTGTTAAATAGATTTTGTAACTATTTTAACGAGTTCAAAAGTCTAATCCTAATATATTAATATCTTAGCACGATCTATCTGTCAGATACACTTACAAAAACAATATGATAGGGGGAACTATCGATCTGTGTGATGAAGTTAAACTTGGTGACTACCAACCTATCAGTAATAAACGTTTTTTTAGAACTAATTTTCTATTCCTTTTCTTAAACTTATTCTCTTTTATTCCAAAAGATAATATGAGTAATTCATATGTGTAAATTGTAGAGAAGAGGGGAAGCACCAGATTTCTTCTACTGTTTGCAATTGTTAGAAGAAAAGGTATATGTGTAGTACCCGGTTCTGGTTTCGGACAAAAGGAAGGAACATTTCATTTCAGGTGAATAATTTATTTACAAATATGTCCATTCGCTGATATATATATATATATATATATTATATATAACGACAGATCAAAATATTTCTCTTACATTAAATCTCCGTACATTATATATTAAAAATATCAATGTTTTGGTTTCGTTATGTTTGATTGTAATATTTTTCTTACATAAATTTAAATCGTTGAAAAAACATATTGAAATGTAGAGTAATTACATTCATCTGAATGGATCATATCCTACCAAAGTTGTTTCTCTCTGTTAGACCATCAAACTTGTCTTTTTCTATGTGGACTAATGTCTCAGTTGTTAAAGTAATGGAAACGAGTTCTAGGTAGAGTGGTAAATCAATAGGTGATGTATTGAAATTTTTTTTTGTGAGGTGGTTTAAACATGTGTTACGTATGCCCAAACCCCGACCGCCTCGTTGTGATGTAGGAGTAGGTTGTAAGAAAGCGACGCGGGGCCAACCAGAACATGGCACAAATCCATTAATTCACTAACAACAGGACTGAGTCATGTTGGTACATGTGGACCACACTTGGCTGGGGTCCGGGAGACGATCTACGTTGTAACTGAATGAGTGTAGCGACTTGATTGAAACGTTTGGCTTTCAATTATTGATTCACAGGTTCAGTACCCGTTTCATCTACGTTGGTTAGGCCATCCATTCGACCTCATAAGTGAAGCATTATCCGTAATTGACTACATCAGCTGCACTCATCAGAAAGTGCTTTAAAATTCCTTGCGATCTAGTCTATAACCGTTTTCATAACTTCATTCACTAATGTTCTTAGTAAGACTAATGATGTATTTACATCGATTCAGTCCATGATGAATTCTAACTGATAATTTATTGATCATTCATACTTTTTTTCAAAGAATAACTTTTCGTTGATATTTCTACTAAAACTTCCAAGTTGGTTACTTATGATTTGATTAATTTCACTTAGCTATCTTTAGACAACACCATCCAGCTCAGGTACTTAGTATTTAAGTGATGGTTTTTGTATGGGCGTAGCTTGAGCGTTTGTGTAATCGACCCGGTTCTTTTCTGAAACTAAGCAATGAAGCACAGAACTGCCATGACTGGTATAATTCTATTCCAAGTGTATACTTGTGTACTTGGTTTTTAGCCAGCTCCGGGTGTCCAGAATCATCACAGATGAAATGGTGTAGAACTTGCAGTTTAAAAACGAATTGAATTCAAGTACTTTGACTCTATCAAGTATCCATAAACTAGTTTAGCTGAGCTTCCCCAGTCATTTCAAATTTCTATAGATTATTTCATAGTATTGGTACATACAGCCTGAATGCTGATGAATTCAAATACAGAATACATTTGTGGAGAAAACTATAAGATGTTTAGTTTTTATTGTAATATTAATAAACTATTTTTGCATAGATTCACTATAAAAAGAATGATAATTTCAATCAGATGATTGGAATGTGAATAAATTTTAATACGTTTTCAGAAATTTTACTAATTAAGCAGTGTAGGTTACGTCAAGTATAAAAAATGACTTTCAGTTTTGTCTATAGTTAATATTTCATACACCTTACTAAACTATGTGTTAAACAAATTAACCCAAGTCTTTTTTTTGCATATAATATTTACGAAGTAACTAAGACTTCCATATATTTTTTCTACAATTCACACATAAATTATTTGATAAATACGTAGTTCATTCATCTGTTCTTAACATTAAGTGATCTATTTATATTCATCATTTCTAACTCTGGTTAATATAGTGTAAATGAAATAATTTCATACATGATCATATAAATTGTCTAGAAATCATTATAGTTTTTTGATAAGTACAATGTATTATGATTCACTGCAAACAGATTATACAAATCTGTCAACTGGTATTTATTTGACAAACTAATTTCAAGCATCCATTGTGAATATTCACTAATAATATGATGTTAACAGTTTTATCAGTGCTGAATTTTCGCAATTAAGCCATTCTGAACATCTGAACTGTATGTAATGAGATTGTGTTTTATCATTGCTTGTACAAATGAGAGTACATTCTATGTACATGGCATGAAAATTCAGAGATTTCACTTAGATAATATTGTCTCATATTATTGGACTACGATAAGAACTAGGAATCGTAAAAGTAGTTTGATTTTGGTTAGGAAATTCATCGATACTTGTAGATACAATTTCTTCAGGCTTTAAAGTATCACTGATTAGTTTTATATTCATCGTATTATTTAATATATTCTGTTAATAAATACCGATCAAGTATTCATTTTGTGTAAGATTATAAGTATGTAAGGAATACTCAGTGAAACTAGCCGTGTCTGTTGAAACTAAAGTAATTACAATGACTCATGAGATCATGTACATGGCTTCAAGATACATTTCAACGCCAATGACATTACTTGATTACATAATGTGAAATAGGTGGAGGCAGGTTTCAAACTTGCAATTGATGGCCTGAAAGTTAAACGTCTTAATCACCAGAGTCACCTCTTCACTTTTAGTAAATGCGTTTACGATTTTGAAGATGACATTTAAAATATCTTAGACTTCGTTTGTTTGCTAAAATTTGTTGATCAAGTTACAGTAACATTCAATTATCAATCAAGTAATTAAGACTGAAATCGTAACTATTATCTGTGTTTAGTATCGTCACATTATAGCACTAGTTAAAATTCATTCATTCGATATGTCAAATCATGAATTTTTAAACTCTGTGTTTTTTGCTTATTTTTTGCTAATTCATACAGAACTACAATCCTACCATCTATTGAAAAGATGAAATATGTTTATGAAACAAATTGAAGGTTTCATACATCTTTATGAAGAAATATTCCTAATTCCTCAAATAAAATTGGTCAAGAAAAATATATTTTTCAAGTTTTTCATTCAGATTGATTATAGTATATTGCATAACTCAATGTTCACTTATAATTAGAGTTTAAATCTGCGCTCACCTGTTCCATGAACTATGTTTTATTTTTAATAATTTTTTTATCTTGCCAACTGTTACGCCTTATTAGTTACCAATTATGTAGTGTATGTATATCATGAAAGTATGTACATACAAAAATTACGTGCTCACCAATTTATGTAAACTGTTTTCCACAACTTGTTTGTTATAATCGTTTTTTTTGTTTGTTTTTTTTTGATTTTGTTAAAATACATTTAGTGGAAGAAATTAAAAATTCTTATTTTAGTTGTCTTACTGGGGTTCATTAATTTATTATTATAGTACAGTATACTTCGATACTTTATTTATTGGCTAAACTGATTAGAAAGCTTGTAATTCGCTGTAGATATTTCTCTGTACTATACACTAATGATTTGGAGTTCTAGTAGGAAACCGGTCATGTTGACTCTAACATCGATAAACAAACCGCCTACATGTTCACCATTGTCACCGTATATGAAGAATTTATACAGTATTTGAGATGTCATAATTTGACTATCAACAAATTTTTCGACTCGATTCGTTGCAAAGATTTCTAGAGATTAATATAAATGACAAAGTGAACAGTATAATACTCATTCATGTAGTAATGACTGTTTTGTACATTAATTCACGTTTGATTCAAATCCTAGATACAATAAATTCGAACATAATTATAATGTTCTATCTGAAGTGAATACTGATTAGTACATGCCTAATAGATTACGATTTGGACAGTCTTGTGAAATGCAAGTTGGTATAGAGAATTCAACTAATAATTTTGACAGACATTTTATATAGACGATAACTAATATTGTTTTTAAGGATCTCTTGAAGTTCCGATTAAGTCTATTCTTAAACGTGGAGATGAATTCGATCAGCAATAATTGTGTCGATTGCTTCTGAATACAGAGCAGAAAGTTAGATGACTAATAAAAATGCTTGCACGTAATCTACAAGCAACAAGCTTTTCCAGCTAGGTCTTTAGAATCTCGCGCCATCGATGTATGCTGCGTCTCCGAAACGCGCACGCAGGATCCTAGTAAAACCATTAATTTGATTTCACCTTGTCAAAATAAAGAAGCGACTCGATTTACTCTTCGTGTATCTGGAGGACTCGATTCTCCTTCACTGGTTCTAGCTGGTGTAGGTTTAGTATTGAATCCTAGGGCAGAATTAATTCTCCTAGACTGGATCGCAGTAGATACTCGCTTGAGCGCATTCTGACTAAATGGTACAGTGAGAACTGGGGAAGATAAGGACACTCACCGTTGCATCTTCGTCGTATCTGCCTACGCTCCCTCTGACGCAGTTCAGACGAGGTGAAGGATGTTTTACAGAAAGCTTTCGGACCTCCTCCAAAAATGTTAGGCACTCTGATATAGTAATAATGGCTGGTGACTTCAATGCTGACGTAGGCTAAGTCAAAAGGAAAGACACCTGGTGTCTCGGCTAATAGAAAAGATTATGGCGAAGGTCTGTTGCAACTGTGCTCAGATAACCGCCTATTTCTAGCAAACACTAATTTTAAGCATAAGGAAAAATATCTTTTGACCTGGCGACCCCCGAAGTTGTCTCAACGATGGACCCAACTAGATCACATTGCCATAAGCCACCGATGGAGGGGTTCGATAGAGGACCGCCGCTCGTGCTGGGGCACAAGTTTAGATCCAGATCATGCTCTAGTGCGAGCTCGTATTAGTTTGCGGCTTACTGGACGTAGGAATGACACTGCCAGGAAACCTCGTAGGGTTCTACCTAATGATAGTAGAGCTATGAACATATTTCAGGAGCAACTAGATAAACAGCTAGGCGACCGACCATGTAAGTGATCTCCATCCGGAGGCAGCTTGGAATGGTGGAAACAGCAGCGATATCTACTAGTAAGGTAAAGCATATGGCTAGGAAGAAGCCATGGATCTCAGTAGCATCTACCGAACTGGTGGATGCTCGTAAACTCATCCCACCTGGCTCTAAATATGATGAAGAGCAAAGACGGCTAAGGCTCAGGCTGATAAAAGCCTACGCAATGATCTCGAACAGTGGTTGGTAGAGAAAGCGAGAAAGATGGAAAAGGCTGCGGCAGTAAGCGACAGTAGACAGTTGTTCCGACGTATCAAAGAAACCGGTACTAGAAATCAATCTGTAAGCGAAACTATCTCAGAAAAGGATGGGCTTATGATTCCTTCTCAACACAGGGGACTGTATCGATAGGCAGAACACTTTAGGGATCAGTTCAACTGGCATTCAGCCACCCTTCGGTTGTCCACGATCCCCAATCATCCTGAATGGCAAATCAATATAAGTCCTTCAACTCTTTATGAATTTGACAAAGCTATAGGAAATCTGAAGCGTGGTAGAACAGCAATGCCTGACAGGCTTACCCCTTAAAATTTAAAGGATGGTGTTCCAGTTTTAACAGTTAGATCTTAGGTAGAATCTGGGAACTAGGCGTAATCCCATCTGACTGGTCTGAATCGCTGGTTGTTCCAATATAGAAGAAAGGACAAAAGTCCTCTGGTGACACACAGAGGAATCAGCCTTAATAATATAGTACCGGAAATATTGGCTTCGATAATACTCCGACGCTTGACGAAAGCTCGTTAAGATCAAACCAGAGAAAACCAGGCTGGTTTCAGACCTGGAAGTGGGTGTATAGACCAAATATTTACACTGGGTCAGGTCCTAAAACAAAGATATACAAAGACGTCCCACAATAGTAGTATTTATGGACCTTGAAGCGGCATTCGACTCTGTTGATTGTGAGGTTCTGTGGTAGTGTCTGTGATTGAAAGGTGTACCAAAGAAGTTCATTAACCTTATACAAGAACTCTACGCGAACACCACTGTTTGAGTAAGGGCTGTCCACTCTCTCCATTCCTGTTTAACTTTGTCGTAGACATGCTTTACCTTAGTATGCGCTTTTCCTCCACGAAATGCAAAATGTTGCTTCAGGATAAGATTGCATCGGCACCTGAACTAGTGATTAGGAGTGAAGTAGTGGAGCGTGTAGACCGCTCCACTTCTCTGGGGAGTCTCGACAGTGCCGATTGTCTGTTGACTGATGCGATCTCAGCAAGGATACAGAAAGCTTGCGTCACTTAAGGTGTAGGCGAGATATCCGTTTGCTGACTAAAGGACCAGTGTACTGTGCGGCAGTTTGGTCTGTCCTTCTTTATGGTGACGAAACATGGCCGGTAAGAGTAGAAGACGTTCGTAGGTTATTAGTATTCGATTATAGATGTCTTTCAAGCGTTTCTCGTATATGCTGGGACACCCGAGTGATATGTAAGGATAACAGATCAATAGATGAAGTGTTGAAACTCAACCAGTTGAGGTGGTTTGAACATGTGTTACGAATGTCCAACCACTGACTTTCTCGGCGAGCAATGTTTTGTAGTGTGGGAGTAGGTTGGAAGGAAGCTAGTGGCGGCCAAACCAAAACATGGCCGAAACACATAAAGTCACTGACAAGTGAATTGAATCACTTTGGTAGGTGCAGGCTACCTGGCTGGGGTTCGGGAGACGATCGTCACCGATGGTTAGAGATCTTGAACAACATAGCTCAAAATCATTTGTAATGGCACAAGTGCATCGATTCTTTGTGTTCTCTCAAATTCTAATCTTCAGAATTCATTACGTTTTTCTTTTTCTAAAGTTATCTGGCTGAACTATACTTCTTGAATAATACCTTTGATCCCTAATATTCTCCAATAAGGCTAATATTACTACTATCTCTACCACTGTGGGATTTGAACTGATGGTGGCGTCTCTATGCTAATGCTGCATGGCAACTTGAACTGAAGTTCGTAAGTACGTAATTCTACGTTGTAATTAACTGACTGACTGAGTGCCTTTTATTCTTTGTACCAATCTGATGTTTTAGTTACAAGCTAAGTTGTAATGCGCTCACTAATGGTACGTTCACCTATGTTCAACGGAGTGGATCCATTGACCTAACGGTCAAGCCATTTCCAGTATCCCTTAGTAAGATAACCAACAGCAGATTTTAATACTTTGAGAGTAGATAATTTAGCTATCAAACATTTCACTTCCAGATTATTCATCTCTTCTATTCTATGTTCGTTTTATATTTTGCGGATAGAAGAAAGTCTTTCAACGATCTTAGTCGATCAAAGTAGTAACTTTGGTGTATTGTATATAATTCGAAGAATGACCAGCTAGTTTTAACCAAAATACACCAATATAAGTAATATTATTATCAATGAACTAGTTATTCAAAAAACAAATAACAGAGGCAATGTTTTTGAATTATTTTATATTCGAAATTTAATATTTCATTATTATTAGCAACTTGTTCACTAAATCAAATTATAAAATATATAGTTAGCCAATGAAAATTACAGCCTAATGATGAATCCATCTTTTTTAATTTTTTAAATTTATCTGATATTCGTTCTTTCATCGATATTATAATATATCCATATAGTTTTGCATGCAGTAAGCAAGTTACAAAAGCTTTTGTCAGTTTTTGAGACCAAAAACCGATTCTTCTGTTCGTTAGAAATTCAAGTTATGTACAAATAGGCAGTAACTACCAAAAACAATAGGTGAGGTAAAGCAAAATCTTAGATTGATCAGAGGTATACATTAACGCCGTTGAATGTCGGCCCGAGGTTAGGAGCTCGCGTGCCACACTGAAGGTCCTGGGTTCGAATCCTGCAAGGTGTAGGAGTGTTGGTTGCGTGCAACTGATGTGTCTCATACCCGGACAAAACTGCTGTTTCTAAAGATGATCTAACAATGATTTTTTTATGATTTAAATTGCAAACAACAATACCCATAATTCTATAATCGTTATTTATAAACTCCAATTATTATAGTATAGGGACAGTTTTATTGCCTTTATAAT